TTACCGTGACGTAACACCTTTTGAAATAAACAAATAACCACTTCTAAACAAGTAAAGCGGCCAAACTTATGCTTTCCATAACACTGAACGTAGCTTCTTTTTAAGTAGACCATTAGACTACATTTACTATCTTGATGACTGTCTCGTGTAGGTTAAGAAAAATAATTAACTCCTTTGCTACAAGGCGATTAAAACAGACCACTTGGAGTGTTCTTACACACAGGTTGGTGCGTTACATGTTCTTAAAACAAGTTCTATACACATGACCTACTTGGACACGCATGAAGATTAAACACAACATTGCGCCTCGTAATTTAATTTTTGTAACGCGTCCCCTAAACCATTTAAGACCTACTCACTCTAAAAAGGTCAGACATTGTTTCACCTGATGTAAGTTGTACACCTGTAACCGCCATAAAGAGAACTGTGTTTGATATGAAAAGGTCTCTTGTTACAATGGTAGTAAACAATTACGATATAATTTTTTAATATTGTAAAAATTAATCTTTTTAAATAAAGTAATTACATGTAGCTTGGCAAAACCAAAAGAAATCTGGGTTATGGAATTTTTAATAGTCATTAATATAAAATATGCGTTAAATAAGTTCCAATGCGAGGCCTATTTATTAGCTCAATTGATGTTTTATAGAATTTAGAAGCTAAAAAAAAAAAAAAAAAAAAAAAAAAACGCGAAAGATCGTCTTGTGATCTTGTGACCTCGTTTTCGAAGCGCGTTGTTTTCTGCCTGTGCTGCTGATGGTTTGGACGTAGTAATTCTAAGGGATTGGTCTGGAACACCGTGAGATTTTTTTCTGATCTTTTGTCTTACTGGCATTTGTGGTCATTTTGAAATCGTGTATAGTGTTTGTATGCGGTGAAAATTGTATTGAAGCTATTGTAGCTGTTGTTGCAATGTTGCTCTGCTTTCCCACACGAAAATGCAGTAGTATCGATGTAGCAAAGAAGTATTAACGCTGTAGTGGTGTGGAAGTAGTAGTAAGGAATCAACACGACAGTTATTATCGGCGTGTGGATTGACGTGTGGATTGTTTGTTTGTTTATCTGTCTGTCTGTCTGTTTGTTTGTTTTTCTGTTTGTTTGTTTGTCTGTATGTTTGTTTATTTGTCTGTCTGTCTGTGTGCCTGTTTGCTTGTTTTCTGTCTAACTGTCTTGTTTTTGAGGGAGGGGTAACTATGACTACTAATGCTTTTTAAAGTCTTATTTATTTTTTCTTTGTTTTTTGAAAATCTTGTCTGTTTTGATTTTCAGTCTTTTCTCATCTTATAGGTAAAAGTGCGCTTGCACTGAAGTTTGTTCCAGTGAATTATTGGGTTGTTTCATTAAGCGCGTATACAAACAGTTTCGCTATAAGACGCGCAGTGGACACAGTCCGTATATGATCGCTCAAGTGCCATTGTAAATATATGTCTAAATGGTTTACACTCCAAACAGTAAATTTTGGGCAACTACAACTTACAAAAGAGATTGTCAACAGTGAGGATTACTCGCTTTCTGACTAATTTATAACTTACAATAGATTGAAGTAGCTGTATCAAAAAATTCTTAGAGTTTAAGCTTACACATTGGACAACTTTGACCGACAATAGAGTGTGTCAGAGTGCTAACTCGATTTCTGACTAACTTTTAACTTAAAATAGTGTGTGTCAATAGTGAATTCAATAACTGTGTCCAAAATTCTTATAGTTCAAGCCTGTATGTTGGGGTATTACGGTTGACAGTAGAGTGTGGGTTCACAAACACTTGGATTCAATATGAAGGAGGAGGTACACGTAGGGAGGCAGGGGAAGAGTAAGGAGGTGTAGAGAATAACAGGATTAGGAGGAGATGGTGAAGAAAAGAGGAAGTACACCCTCCTCCTCGTCATTTAAGCAGAATTACCTAAATTCTCATCCCTAACTCTTCCTCATCATCATCTTGGGAGGAGCAGGAGGAAGAAGAGTAAGGAGGTGTAGGGGAAAACAAGATGATGAGGAGGAGGAGTTAGGGATGAGAATTAAGGGAATCCTGCTTAAATTTGTGAACCACACAATATCACTTTGGTTCTCATACTTACTATTTGGTTCTCATACTTCTCTCTCATTCATAAATAGTCAAGGCACTGATGTTAACACTCTCTACTGTCAACCGTAATACCCCAACATACAGGCTTGAACTATAAGTGTTATTATAAGAACTATTGACACAGACTATTTTAAGTTAAAAGGTAGTCAGAAATCGAGTTAGCTTCACTGTTGACGCGAGCTATTGTAAGTTATAAGGTACATCGTTGTTGATACAATCTATTGTGAGTTATAAAGTAGTCAAAAAGCGAGTAAGCCGAGTTAGCTACACACTCTATTGTAAGCTATAAGGTACGCAGAAATCCCAAATCGAGTAAGCCAAAGTTGCCCACATCATTGTTGACACAATCTATTGTAAGCTACAAGGAAGACAGAACTCAAGTAAGCTTCACTGTTGACCCGAGCTATTGTAAGTTATAAGGTACATCGTTGTTGATACAATCTATTGTAAGTTATAAAGTAGTCAGAAAGCGAGTAAGCCTCACTGTTGACAATCTCTTTTGTAAGTTGTAGTTGCCCAAAATTTACTGTTTGGAGTGTAAACCATTTGGACATATATTTCTCACGCCTGTTTGAGTACAATGGCACTTGAGCGATCATATACGGACTGTGTCCACTGCTCGTCTTAGCGAAACTATTTGTATACCCGCTTAATGAAACAACCCAATAATTCACTGGAACAAACTTCAGTGCAAGCGCACTTTTACATATAAGATGAGAAAAAGACTGAAAATCAAAACAGACAAGATTTTCAAAAACAAAAACAAAATAAATAAATAAGACTTTAAAAAGCATTGGTAGTCATAGTTAACCCTCCCTCAAAAACAAGCAAACAGACAGACAGGCAGACAGACAAACAAACAAACAGGCAGACAGACAGACAGACAGACAAATAAACAAACAGACAGACAGACAAACAAACAAACAAACAGACAGTCAGACAGACAGACAGACAGACAGACAAACAAACAATCCACAAGTCAATCCACACGCCGATAATAAATGTCGTGTTGATTCCTTACTTCTTGTGGAGCATATTTGCAGTAGAAATGCAGTATAGCCTACTGAATTTCTACTCCAAAAAGTACATAGGTTTGTACAGAGAGGAGCATTAATGCAATAGATTAGCAGCGTAATAGAGGCATGTTTCAAATATGCTAATTAGCTCCCAAATCGAAGCAGATTTTAAACATGTTTCCAGTATGATCTAGTAGTCTACTGCGCTGGAATATCTACTGCGTTTTCGTGCGGGTTGCCTGCATGTTTTGCAAAATACGTGGCTTGCAAGTGCCCTGTAAGCTGTAATTTCATATTCATTACCTCCGACAAGGAGGTTATGTTTTCACCCTTGTTTGTCTGTCTGTTTGTTTGTTTGTCATCAACATAACTAAAAAAGTCATGGACCGATTTTGATGAAATTTTCAGGAACGGTCAAAAAAGGACCGGTGGTGATTCGGATCAATAATCGACCAATAATCAGTAATAATAAAAAAAAATCGCTGCCTTGGCGGTTTGCGCTCTTGGGGTGCTTTTCTAGTTTTCTTCTTTTTTTAAATCAGTTTTTACCCTACTGTTAGAAAATCAGGTTAGCTTTGATCAACAAACAAAGGGGTTATCTTCTTGCTTTCTAGAAGCAGAACAAACCCAAGCATGGATGAAAAGAAAGCAGGAGATGAGGGCAGCTGTGACAGAGACACCAAGGAGCTTGACGATATCCTTGTTCTGATTGGAGAATTTGGGAAGTACCAAAAACTGATTTATGTGCTGTTTTTGATAGTAAGTCTGTTGGCAAATATGGTGAACGGAGCCGTTGTTTTCATAGAGGACACGCCCAGTTTCAGGTAATAATAATAATAATTGATACAAAGTAGTAATCAGGGGAGAAGGTCATGGCAAATGTGTAAAATTTCTTGTAGATCAAAGGTTTATACAGCAGTATTTAATCAATTATCTTTTCAAGGTGTAAGCTGCCCGGTCTTCAAAATGACACCTTCGAAATCCAGGGGAAATGGCACCAAAATATGGTCGACATATCCTTCATGAATGTAACTGATAAGGAATGTGCCGTTTTTCCAAACATTAGTCACCAGAGTAATGTCAGCCAAGACGTCACAGAACCAGATGAATGTGCAGAATGGGTGTTTGACACCGCCGATGTAACATATTCATATCCGATGCAGGTACCTTCACTAAAATCAATATTTTACTTGTGTGCTTTTTCCATCAGCACATGTAAAATCATCTTGAATAAGTCAATTACTGTAGTTCAACGCCTTGATACCTTCAGGGTTAATACTTAATATGGAATATTATTTTTGGCGAATAAATTTTCTACGAAATAATTATTTTCTTTCTTACTTTTAAAATCCGAAACTGAGGTGTCAATCCATGTGTAGCCAGGTATGTTACTTAATTACCACACAGCTGTCGAAACAATTGATGCATGCAGTTACATGTTGTGTGATCAGATATGTGAGGGGTGTTCTTTTCGGCATTTCCCGTCCTTGTATAAACACGCACGGGTTTGGTACGAATAAAAGCGTTTAGAAAAGCTCTTTCCTTCAATATGTGATGTGGCCAAACAATTTTTACGGTGCATGAAGATAAACAGTTAAAGAATATCCACAATAAAATTCGGCAACCGAGAGAAGGGCCAACATATAGATAATTGCGATAGTATTTATGTCAAAATATCAAAATGAATAGCCCCGCCGTTCGAGCCTTTTAACCAATCAAAGCAACGGAAAGGGGGTCACGTCACCTTCCCACCAGGCCATGCCATGTAAACATAGCAGCATGGTCGGCTGTAGTGAAGAGTCTGAGGAGGGAGACGCGAAATCTTCGCCAAATTCTCATCTTTCGTGTTGCATGCACATAGAAGAAGGTAGCTAATTAAGAGACTCTAGAATNTTCGAAGCGCGTTGTTTTCTGCCTGTGCTGCTGATGGTTTGGACGTAGTAATTCTAAGGGATTGGTCTGGAACACCGTGAGATTTTTTTCTGATCTTTTATCTTCTTGGCATTTGTGGTCATTTTGAAATCGTGTATAGTGTTTGTATGCGGTGAAAATTGTATTGAAGCTATTGTAGCTGTTGTTGCAATGTTGCTCTGCTTTCCCACACGAAAATGCAGTAGTATCGATGTAGCAAAGAAGTATTAACCCTGTAGTGGTGTGGAAGTAGTAGTAAGGAATCAACACGACAGTTATTATCGGCGTGTGGATTGACGTGTGGATTGTTTGTTTGTTTGTCTGTCTGTCTGTCTGTCTGTCTGTTTGTTTGTTTTTCTGTTTGTTTGTTTGTTTGTTTGTCTGTAGGTTTGTTTATTTGTCTGTCTGTCTGTGTGCCTGTTTGCTTGTTTGTCTGTCTAACTGTCTGTCTCTTTGTTTGTTTGTTTGTCTGCCTGTCTGTCTGTTTGCTTTTTTTTGAGGGAGGGGTAACTATGACTACCAATGCTTTTTAAAGTCTTATTTATTTTTTCTTTGTTTTTTGAAAATCTTGTCTGTTTTGATTTTCAGTCTTTTCTCATCTTATAGGTAAAAGTGTGCTTGCACTGAAGTTTGTTCCAGTGAATTATTGGGTTGTTTCATTAAGCGCGTATACAGACAGTTTCGCTATAAGACGCGCAGTGGACACAGTCCGTATATGATCGCTCAAGTGCCATTGTACTCAAACAGGCGTGAGAAATATATGTCTAAATGGTTTACACTCCAAACAGTAAATTTTGGGCAACTACAACTTACAAAAGATATTGTCAACAGTGAGGATTACTCGCTTTCTGACTAATTTATAACTTACAATAGATTGAAGTAGCTGTATCAAAAAATTCTTAGAGTTTAAGCTTACACATTGGACATCTTTGACCGACAATAGAGTGTGTCAACAGTGAAGCTAACTCGATTTCTGACTAACTTTTAACTTAAAATAGTGTGTGTCAATAGTGAATTCAATAACTGTGTCCAAAATTCTTATAGTTCAAGCCTGTATGTTGGGGTATTACGGTTGACAGTAGAGTGTGGGTTCACAAACACTTGGATTCAATATGAAGGAGGAGGTACACGTAGGGAGGCAGGGGAAGAGTAAGGAGGTGTAGAGAATAACAGGATTAGGAGGAGATGGTGAAGGAAAGAGGAAGTACACCCTCCTCCTCCTCATTTAAGCAGGATTACCTAAATTCTCATCCCTAACTCTTCCTCATCATCATCTTGGGAGGAGCAGGAGGAAGAAGAGTAAGGAGGTGTAGGGGAAAACAAGATGATGAGGAGGAGGAGTTAGGGATGAGAATTAAGGGAATCCTGCTTAAATTTGTGAACCACACAATATCACTTTGGTTCTCATACTTACTATTTGGTTCTCATACTTCTCTCTCATTCATAAATAGCCAAGGTACTGATGTTAACACTCTCTACTGTCAACCGTAATACACCAACATACAGGCTTGAACTATAAGTATTATTATAAGAACTATTGACACAGACTATTTTAAGTTAAAATGTAGTCAGAAATCGAGTTAGCTTCACTGTTGACACGAGCTATTGTAAGTTATAAGATACAGCGTTGTTGATACAATCTATTGTAAGTTATAAAGTAGTCAGAAAGCGAGTAAGCCGAGTTAGCTACACACTCTATTGTAAGCTATAAGGTACGCAGAAATCCCAAATCGAGTAAGCCAAAGTTGCCCACATCATTGTTGACACAATCTATTGTAAGCTACAAGGAAGACAGAACTCAAGTAAGCTTCACTGTTGACCCGAGCTATTGTAAGTTATAAGGTACATCGTTGTTGATACAATCTATTGTAAGTTATAAAGTAGTCAGAAAGCGAGTAAGCCTCACTGTTGACAATCTCTTTTGTAAGTTGTAGTTGCCCAAAATTTACTGTTTGGAGTGTAAACCATTTAGACATATATTTCTCACGCCTGTTTGAGTACAATGGCACTTGAGCGATCATATACGGACTGTGTCCACTGCTCGTCTTAGCGAAACTATTTGTATACCCGCTTAATGAAACAACCCTATAATTCACTGGAACAAACTTCAGTGCAAGCGCACTTTTACATATAAGATGAGAAAAAGACTGAAAATCAAAACAGATTTTCAAAAACAAAAACAAAATAAATAAAAAAGACTTTAAAAAGCATTGGTAGTCATAGTTACCCCTCCCTCAAAAACAAGCAAACAGACAGACAGGCAGACAGACAAACAAACAAACAGACAGACAGACAGACAAACAAACAAACAAACAAACAAACAGACAGTCAGACAGACAGACAGACAAACAAACAATCCAGAAGTCAATCCACACGCCGATAATAACTGTCGTGTTGATTCCTTACTTCTTGTGGAGCATATTTGCAGTAGAAATGCAGTATAGCCTACTGAATTTCTACTCCAAAAAGTACATAGGTTTGTACAGAGAGGAGCATTAATGCAGTAGATTAGCAGCGTAATAGAGGCATGTTTCAAATATGCTAATTAGCTCACAAATCGAAGCAGATTTTAAGCATGTTTCCAGTATGATGTAGTACTCTACTGCGCTGGAATATCTACCGCGTTTTCGTGCGGGTTGCCTGCATGTTTTGCAAAATACGTGGCTTGCAAGTGCCCTGTAAGCTGTAATTTCATATTTATTACCTCCGACAAGGAGGTTATGTATTCACCCTTGTTTGTCTGTCTGTTTGTTTGTTTGTCATCAACATAACTAAAAAAGTCATGGACCGATTTTGATGAAATTTTCAGGAACGGTCAAAAAAGGACCGGTGGTGATTCGGATCAATAATCGACCAATAATCAGTAATAATAAAAAAATCGCTGCCTTGGCGGTTTGCGCTCTCGGGGTGCTTTTCTGGTTTTCTTCTTTTTTTAAATCAGTTTTTACCCTACTGTTAGAAAATCAGGTTAGCTTTGATCAACAAACAAAGGGGTTATCTTCTTGCTTTCTAGAAGCAGAACAAACCCAAGCATGGATGAAAAGAAAGCAGGAGATGAGGGCAGCTGTGACAGAGACACCAAGGAGCTTGACGATATCCTTGTTCTGATTGGAGAATTTGGGAAGTACCAAAAACTGATTTATGTGCTGTTTTTGATAGTAAGTCTGTTGGCAAATATGGTGAACGGAGCCGTTGTTTTCATAGAGGACACACCCAGTTTCAGGTAATAATAATAATAATAATAATAATAATAATAATAATAATAATAATTGATACAAAGTGGTAATCAGGGGAGAAGGTCATGGCAAATGTGTAAAATTTCTTGCAGATCAAAGGTTTATACAGCAGTATTTAATCAATTATCTTTTCAAGGTGTAAGCTGCCCGGTCTTCAAAATGACACCTTCGAAATCCAGGGGAAATGGCACCAAAATATGGTCGACATATCCTTCATTAATGTAACTGATAAGGAATGTGCCGTTTTTCCAAACATTAGTCACCAGAGTAATGTCAGCCAAGACGTCACAGAACCAGATGAATGTGCAGAATGGGTGTTTGACACCGCCGATGTAACATATTCATATCCGATGCAGGTACCTTCACTAAAATCAATATTTTACTTGTGTGTTTTTTCCATCAGCACATGTAAAATCATCTTGAATAAGTCAATTACTGTAGTTCAACGCCTTGATACCTTCAGGGTTAATACTTAATATGGAATATTATTTTTGGCGAATAAATTTTCTACGAAATAATTATTTTCTTTCCTACTTTTAAAATCCGAAACTGAGGTGTCAATCCATGTGTAGCCAGGTATGTTACTTAATTACCACACAGCTCTCGAAACAATTGATGCATGCAGTTACATGTTGTGTGATCAGATATGTGAGGGGTGTTCTTTTCGGTATTTCCCGTCCTTGTATAAAAACGCACGGGTTTGGTTAAGCTTTGAAGAGTATTTCGAAAAGCTACACAGGGATCGCTCTGAAACTTCACTGGTACCTTAGAGAAGCTACGGTTCGACAGCTGCACGTAAGCAACGCGACCTACTATGGGATTCTTGCTCTCAGAGAAAATGGCCAGAGAAGTTCAGCCATATTGCCAGGCAATTCAACATAAATCAGGTAACCGTAAGCAAATTAAGTCTTCAAAAGAAATGCAACAACAGGCGCACCTACTCCAAGACCTCGATCAGGGTGTCCTCGTATCACAACAAGATCGCCTTCTCCTTAAACTGTGCCGTGCTGGTCGTACAAAGACAACCAATCTCCTCATTACTGCAAACCGGTTATTTTGCACGCAAACCAGTACAGAAACCACTGTTAACATCAGGTCATATACAACGACATTTGCAATGGACTGGGGACCACGTGCGTTTGCAGACAAACCACTGGAATCGTGTCGTTTTCAGTGATGAGACCAGATATGAAGATTTTAGGGTTGATGGTCGATTCCGTGCCCGCCAACGTGTACGAAAGGCAAAAACGATGATAGTGTACTGCCTAAGGTGCAAGTGGAAGTAGGGAGCATGTCATGTCAGTGTCAGTACTGGAGTTGATTTTGAATGGCGTTGCATGTACCGGGTATATGTATTACATTACCATCTTGGTTACATTAAATAATACAAAAAGGTCTTGTGGGCAAATAAAAAAAAGTCTTATATTTTCATTGTATTTCTCCATAATAAAGTACATGCATCTTGTTCATATTGGGTTACATTCATAAAAATATGAAAGTACAAAACCGTAATATTTCAGTGTTGGACGGAAGATGGCGCTACTTCTTGGGTTGAGTGTCAGTGGTTTTGCAGGAATAGCATGGGCCTTTTCCCCAACCTACGAGTGGAGTGTAGGGATGCGGTTTATGTTGGGCTTTGGCATGAGCAACTTGTATAATTAGGCTAGCACATTTGGTATGTTGTACATGGGATACGCTTAGAATACTAGTACATGTAATATGCTTGGGTAGGCACTGGGCAGACTGGCTTGATGAATGACTGCGATACATAAAAGCGGACCCTTTTTACTGCCTGTGGTACGGTATACGTACTGTAACGATTTTACACAAAACCTTTAATTCCTGCAGTAAGCTATAGCGTTTCTTTTACATTCAGCTAGTGTGTTGTTGAACTTTGAACTTTAAGTTGGAATTGCTTGTAAGCGGTATCAGTTTATTAAACAGGGGCTTGCAGTGTTTGGTGGGCCATCCACTTTCCCTCTGCCTGCCAATCAAAGTGGCAGTCAACCATTCAAGGTCGTCCACTTTTGGAAATGAATAAATAGAGCAACTCTGCGCAGTATTTGCCAGTTAAGTTTTAAGTTTTAAGTTACAAGTACGACAGTGTAGAGTACAGTAAGATAGCCAGAGACAGTATAGAGTAAGCGTCCAAAAATAAACAAAGCTAGTTTTTGAACGCTGTTGATAAGTTTAATTTGTATACAGCTTTTACATTACATAGCTTGGCAAAAATCAAAAGATATCTCATTTAATATTGGAATCTTTAATAGGTATTAACATAAAATATACGTTAAATAAGTTCCAATGCAAGGCCTATTTATTAGCTTAATTGATGTTTTATAGAATTTAGAAGCTAAAAAAAAAAAAAAAAACGCGAAAGATCGTCTTGTGACCTTGTGACCTCTTTCTTATATCGAGGCACGGTGTTTTCTGTGCTGCTGATGGTTTGGACCTGGTAATTCTAAGGGATTGGTCTGGCACACCGTGAGTTCTAAGGGATTGGTCTGGCACACCGTGAGTTTTTTCTGATCTTTTATTTTATTGGCATTTGTGGTCATTTTGAAAGCGTGTATAGTGTTTGTAAATTGCGTTTTCACGGTTGAAGCTGTTGTTGCAATGTTGCTCTGCTTTGCCCGCATGTTTTGCAAAATACGTGGCTTGCACGTGCCTTGTAAGCTGTAATTTCATATTAATTACCTCCGACAAGGAGGTTATGTTTTCACCTGTTTGTCTGATTGTTTGTTTGTCATTAATAAAACTCGAAAGGTTATGGACCGATTTTGATGAAACTTTCAGGAACTGTCAGAAGTGGGCCAAGGAAGAGAAGATTAGTTTTTGGTGGTGATCCGGATCAACAATCAATCAATAATCAGTAATAATAAAAAACCGCTGCCTTGGCGGAGGTCTGCGCTCTCGGAGTGCTTTTGTAGTTTTCTTCTTTTTTTAAATCAGTTTTTACCCTTCTGTTAGAAAATCAGGTTAGCTTTGAACAACAAACAGAGGGGTCATCTTCTTGCTTTCTGGAAGCAGAAAAGACCCAAGCATGGATGAAAAGAAAGCAGGAGGTGAGGGCAGCGGTGACAGAGACACCAAGGACTTTGACGATATCCTTGTTCTGATTGGAGAATTTGGGAAGTACCAAAAAACTGATTTATGTGCTGTTTTTGATAGTAAGTATGTTGGCAAATATGGTGAACGGAGCCGTTGTTTTCATAGAGGACACACCCAGTTTCAGGTAATAATAATAATAATAATAATAATAATAATAATAATAATAATGGAAACCAAGTGGTAATTAGGGGAGAAGGTCATGGCACTAGTGTAAAATTTCTTGTAGATCAAAGGTTTATACAGGCAGTATTTCATCAATTGGTTTTTCAAGGTGTAAACTACCTGGTCTTCAAAATGACACCTTCAAAATCCAGGGGAAATGGCACCAGAATATGGTCGACATATCCTTCATGAATGTATCTGATGAAGAATGTACCGTTTTTCCAAACATTAGTCACCAGATTAATGTCAACCAAGACATCACAGAACCAGATGAATGTTCAAAATGGGTGTTTGACACCGCCGATGTAACATATTCTTATCCGATGCAGGTACATTCACTAAAATCAATATTTTACTTGTGTGTTTTTTCCATCAGCACATGTAAAATCATCTTGAATAAGTCAATTACTGTAGTTCAAAGCCTTGATACCTTCAGGGTTAATACTTAATATGGAATATTATTTTTGGTGAATAAAATTTTCTACGAAATAATTATTTTCTCTCTTACTTTTAAAATCCGAAACTGAGGTGTCAATCCATGTGTAGCCAGGTATGTTACTTAATTACCACACAGCTGTCGAAACAATTGATGCATGCAGTTGCATGTTTTGTGATCAGAAATGTGAGGGGTGGTATTTTCGGCAATTCCCGTCCTTGTATAAAAACGCATGGGTTTGGTCAATCTTTGGAGTATATTTCGCGAAGCTACAGAGGGATCGCTCTGAAACTTGACTGGTACCTTATAGAAGTTACGGTTCGACAGCTACATGTAAGCAACGCGACCTACTATGGGATTCTTGCTCTCAGAGAAAATGGCCAGAAAAGTTCAGCCATATTGCCAGGCAATTCAACATAAATCAGGTAACCGTAAGCAAATTAAGTCTTCAAAAGAAATGCAACAACAGGCGCACCTACTCCAAGACCTCGATCAGGGTGTCCTCGTATCACAACAAGAAGACAGGATCACCTTCTCCTTAGACTGTGCCGTGCTGGTCGTACAGAGACAACCAGTCTCCTCAGAAGAGATTGGCAGAATGTCTTTCAAACGCCCGTTTCAATGTACCTCGTTAACAAGACATTACTGCAAACCGGTTATTTTCACGGAAACCAGTACAGAAACCACTGTTAACATCAGGTCATATACAACGACGTTTGCAATGGACTGGGGACCACGTGCGTTTGCAGCCAAACCACTGGAATCGTGTCGTTTTCAGTGATGAGACCAGATATGGAGATTTTAGGGTTGATGGTCGATTCCGTGTCCGCCAACGTGTACAAAAGGCAAAAACAATGATAGTGTACTGCCTAAGGTGCAAGTGGAAGTGGGGAGCATGTCATGTCAGTGCCCAGAACCAGTTGGTTTTTCTAGAAGGTTACCTCAACCAGGATTTCTACAGAGACATTCTACAGCATACAATGCTTCCCTTTGGAAGAACCATCTTCAGGAAACAACATTATGTACCAAGACGACTACGCACCCCCACATCGAGCTTGCAGAAACACTGCGTTTCTTCAAAACCAAGGGGTTCAGCAACTGCCCTGTCCTGCAAACTCCCCATTTTGAAAATCTGCGGGCGGAAATAACTCGTAGAATTAGTAGCTATGATCATCAGCCGGTAAATCGTGATGAACTGCGACATGCAAATATTACTGCGTAGAATGGTATCCCCATCCAAACTCTGAGAAACTTGTCACAGGGTACGCCTGGCCCATGTAGGGTGAGGGTGCTGCAAACGGCTGATGCAGCTAGGTCACACCCGCTAGTGATTACTTTTCATGATTTCCTATATTTTTTTTAACTGTGTAGCATATCACTGTCCGGAAGCTTAAAGTTGGTATCAAACTGTTAATATGATTTTTCTGGGGGGGGGGGGGGGGGGGGGCTTTTCTTTTGAATGGCATCTTATGTCATATTTGATATTATTGACCAAAATATCTCACAATAGAAGGCTGGACATTTTTTTCACTCAATGACATACCCAGTACTTTCTTGATTAATAAAGCAAAAATGATAAAAATAAAAATAGAAAAATAAATCTGCACTCAAAAACAAAACAATGATAAATATATTCCATATTAGGTATTAAGTCTGTATTTGAATTTAACCACTTACGTTTTTTAAAACCTTCTTTATCCTTTTTGCAAGCACTGGCGAAATCATAGACATGTAATGTAAAGCCCTTTTCAAACCCAATATTTAAGATCACTAAACATTTCAGACAATTTTTGCAGGGGCTAATTGGTTTTGTCGTTTCCATTTTTATATAGTTCACTCTCCTTTGTGACGACTCGTCAAAGTTGACCAAGTCCTATATTTTCAATGTAATGGGACACTTGGTCGGAGGACTGTTATTTGGTGTGGTGTCCGACGGGTGGGTATTATATTTGATATGTGTACTGGAGTTGATTTTGAATGGCGTTGCATGTATATGTATAACATTACCATCTTGGTTACATTAAATAATACAAAAAGGTCTTGTGGGCAAATTAAAAAAAAAAGTTTTATATTTTCATGGTAATTCTCCATAATAAAGTACATGCATCTTGTTCATATTGGGTTACATTCATAAAAAATATGAAAGTACAAAGCCGTAATATTTCAGTGTTGGACGGAAGATGGCGCTGCTTCTTGGGTTGAGTGTCAGTGGTTTTGCAGGAATAGCATGGGCCTTTTCCCCAACCTACGAGTGGAGTGTAGGGATGCGGTTTATGTTGGGCTTTGGCATGAGCAACTTGTATAATTTGGCCATCACATTTGGTATGTTGTACATGGGATACGCTTAGAATACTAGTACATGTAATATGCTTGGATAGGCACTGGGCAGACTGGCTAGATGAATGACTGCGATACATAAAAGCGGACCCTTTTTACTGCCTGTGGTACGGTATACGTACTGTAACGATTTTACACATAGTCTTTAATTCCTGCAGTAAGCTATAGCATTTTTTTTTACATTCAGCTAGTGTGTTGTTGAACTTTGAACTTTAAGTTGGAATTGCTTGTAAGCGGTATCAGTTTATTAAACAGGGGCTTGCAGTGTCTGGTGGGTCATCCACTTTCCCTCTGCCTGCCAATCAAAGTGGCAGTCAACCATTCAAGGTCGTCCACTTTTGGAAATGAATAAATAGAGCAACTCTGCGCAGTATTTGCCAGTTAAGTTTAGAGTTATAAGTACGACAGTGTAGAGTACAGTAAGATAGCCAGAGGCAGTACAGAGTAAGCGTCCAAAAATAAACAAAGCTAGTTTTTGAACGCTGTTGATAAGTTCAATTTTGATACAGCTTCAAAGTCACTGTAAAACATTAGCTTGTCTTGGAACGCTGCCATCGGACATCTAGCGGTTAAAGGTATAATAATAAAAAAAAAAATCGCGATCGACTTGGTGATATTTCATTTTATTTATTTATTTTTTTTGAAAATTAATAAATTTCATTAACATTCAAAGGTAATGTAACACTATTGTTGAAGAGGGTATGTTCTTTCGAAAGTTTTGATGATTGTGCTCTTATTTACAGAGTTTTAGTTGAGCTTAAATTTACGAATTCAGGCAGCTACCGAGGAGGCTACAGACTTCGTCGACCAGCAGCTAAGAAAAAACGACCTGAGCGGCTTTTTAGATTTTTCGTGAAACAGGACTTAGTGACGTGCGGACGTAATTACTCTTAGTCAGGGATCCCTACTTAAGTTTTTTTTTTTCTGAAACTGGGACCTGGAATTCTCTTTTCAACAGATTTCTCGGCGGAAATTGTGGTCAGAGGTCCAAAAATTAATACACCCGGCGTGGTATATAAAATAGTACGCACCCAGTATATGTACGAGTAGTCGGTGCGGATTTCGGACACGAGCAGACTAAAACATGACTTGACTACATAAGATGCGATATTTTTTATTAATCTTTCTTTTTATTTATTTTATTTATTAATTTTTTTGGTTTCTCTTGCACTGCTGATAACATTGTTAATCGCTCAATTAAAGAATATAAGAAAACTACCTTTTCGGCCCTTTCACAAATGATTTTGGAACATGACTGACTGGTACAATTAACTCATGCTACGACATTGAGAATGGGGGTGGGGGGTGGGGTGTTCAGCCACTGGTCAGTCTGGGGAAATGTCGTTAAGTCTGTTTAGAAATAATATGTCTTTTCAGCATGACTTCATTATAGGAATAATTTCATTTATCAAAAAAAAAAAAAAATAAATAAATAAATAAAGCACTGAAGTTCCCTTCAATTGTAAAATCGACTTTTACAGCTTTAGAGATGGTGGGTCCGAGCAAAAGAATGTTGGTAGGAACAGGTTTGGCAGTCGTTTATGCGGGGGGCGGGGCAGTGACTATTGGAATAGCCTACTTTCTTCGAGACTGGCGCCATCTGTTGACGGTAGTGGTTGCCCCATTTCTGCTAACAGCGTTTGTAATGTTGTGGTAGGTAATGCAATTTAGTGACTATCAAAATGCAAAAGATAAATTAGCCTCACATTATACAGATGTACATGTATGGGAGTAATAACAGAGACACTTCAACAGAATATTTTGATAAAAAGGACACAATTATCCACATGATTAACTATACATAAAATGAACTGAAAAAGTGCTTAACCTATACTTAAGAACCTTGCATTGTTTGGAGTCTTGTTTTTGTGTCCTCTTTTTCACACCAATGCCTCATGTGTCCTTCTGAAATAGCCACATTGCATATCCGAATCAAAGAATATTTTGATAAATATTTTCTATCGGTTGCAGGTTTCTTCACGAGTCACCTAGATGGTTGCTTACCAAAGGACGCCATTCAGAAGCTGAGACAATTCTAAGGCGTACCGCGAGAATAAACAAGACTGCTCTCCCTCGGGGTCTTGTAGAAAAAGTTGAAATCAAGGAACCTCCAATTTCAAGTGCCAGAGCTCTTCTTCATGCCCCCCGACTGGTGGTCAAAATGCTGCTTCTGTACATTAACTGGTATGTGTTATTATGATTGGCAAATCTGCCATTTTGATTTTCGATTTCAAACTGTGTCCTAGCTTAGATTTATAACAAGATCCAGTTGACGTCGCAAGTAAATAATACATGTAGGCCTTACAACATATTCACAAAAATGGGAGCATTTTCCATAAGTGCTAGGGAAAGGGAAATCCTGGGGCACAACGATCCATCCGGTAGTGCTATGGTGCCCATTTTTTTCACTTGCAGGTTTCCCTTGGTAGATATGTGCCAGTGTAAAGGTACCCATTCTTTTCACTTTCAGGTTTGTCTTGGATATGACGTATTATGGGATAAATCTTCACGCAGGGAACATGTCTGGAAATCTCTACCTCAACTTCTTTCTCCTCTCTATAGTGGAATTACCTGCATATGCATTGTGTTTCACTATCGACAGATTTGGAAGGAAGAAGATATACATGATATGTATGGTAGTGGGCGGCCTGGCATGTCTCTCGTCTCTCCTTGTGCAGTTATACGCTAATAATGGTAATGCTATTATAATTATATCCCTGTATAATTCTTAAATATGGGCCAAACAATCGTCAGATATTATTTTAAACGCAGAATAGTAAAGATCTTGATCTAGAACCACCAGTTACATACCCTTAAAGTTGATTTTCATAAGTATGAATTGCTAGTAAATTGCTGCCAAAATACAAGTACCAGACAATTCGGTTGTTTTGAATTAAATCGTGCCTGCCTGGTGGACTCTCTAAATAAAGTGGTTGCTCATATGCTGGAGTAGAAACAGTCAAGTTTAAAATTTAGTGTATCGAGTGCTGACTGTGCCTCTTACATGTTATATTTTAGATTTGGAATCTACTAACTACATAAAGATCACACTGTCCACGGTTGGGAAGTTTGGCGTCGCTGCAGGCTATAATATCATATATATCTGGAGTATTGAAATATTCCCTACCGTTGTCCGAAACTTCAGTTTGGGTCTGGCTATAGTGTCTGCCAATCTTGGATCCATGCTCTCTCCTGTAATCGTGGTCAGTTGAGAACAAAACTAATAATCAGAAATGTCTTACTCGTATGTGGTCATTAAATATGCTTTTGAGCTTGATCGGTTGTCATTTGTATATTTCATTTATTAAAAATAATGATAATTCGAATTTGTATTGATTTATATTAATATTTATTTGTATCTGTTTAATTCAGAGAGAAATTCAAGTGGAAGGTATTGGGGAGGATACCTTGCCACTTGTGATATTTGGAGCCGCGGCCATATTTGCATCAGTATCTACAATCCCTTTGCCGGAGACAGCAAACACAGATCTACCCGAAACTGTAGCAGTCGCAAACAGTTTTAAGAAGTAAGTGATTTTTCGATGAAGATGTTCTACTTTTTAACCGCCATAGTCAGTTTTTTTCTTATTTTGAAATATGTGTTGATATAAGAAAAAATGGGTATTTATAATCGTGAGTTCAGCCTCGAAAAAACGTCAAATGAAAACATATTTACATGTGTCATACTCTCTCACTTTCTCTCTCCCTCTCTCTTTCTCACGCGCGCACGCAAAGAAATCTATAATTTTGACGTTTCTGTGTCTCTCTCTTTCCGTCTCGCCCCGGTAAGATAGTGGTGAGATAGAATGCAATCGCATCAAAATTCGTAGATGCCACTCATCTGTCGGAATCACTCTTTTTTATATTTTGTAGCCGTCGGCCACGCAGCAGCTGTCAAAGCGGGAATCAGCAACATTCGGTAATAGAGGAAAACTCTCTACTGTGAGATAACAGCACTTGGTATCTACTACAGGGAAATTGACATATTTTCACAAGATATTGACAGCTATTTTTCTGGCTTCTACGCTTTTTGGCACCGACCACGCTCCTGCAAGAGTTTCTTTTTTTTTCATAGGAAAAACGTTACCACCCAGCTGTCCTCTGCTTGAAAAGTGTACACGGTTATTGCTAGAATATCTTGTCGGAAATAAATTAGTTCGAAATAAAGTGAAATGGTTAAAGGTTGTAAATATTGATTTTTAAAAAGTACGTTGCTTGGAAAAAGCAGCAGCCTATGCACATTTAATTCAATTTTTGGGTTGCGACTGCAAGTTTCGATTTCCCAAACTGAAGGCAATGTACGCTATTCGTCAAAACGGTTGATCCACCTTCAATTCCACGTGCTTTTATATACAAATGATCACCTCACAGGTGCAAATTGTCAAATCAGTGATTTTCCTCCGAGATACATCATCTTACATGTTTAATGGTATCGAAAATACAAAAAAAGTGAAGGTATCCGTATTAACATTCATATTCAAATTTAAAACAAGTACCCATTTAAATCCGATGATTCACTATTATATGCAAAGAGGTTAAACATGTCCATTAAATTGAAAAGACAACATCGAATGTCACCAAAGTTACATACAATTGGGATTAGGGTATGCTCGTTAAAAGCCATGTGTCTAATATATGTTTCTACATATACAGTACGTAGCTAGTACTGCAATTATTTCCTGTAGGCGGCAAGGCATACCCTCAACAAGGGCAACAATTGTGTTTTGCTGAATATTGTAAACGTGGATCTATAAACAATTTGTCAGTAACACTATGACCTTGGACTTTCATAATAGCCGCACAGTTGATGTAGCCTTATTACTGCATCAAAGTCTCGTATCTTCTGTCGTTTCCGGAACGGTGCATTCTGGGTGATAAGTTTTCTTTTGGAAACGACGTAACATCGCCTGCACAAAACTACATATGACGAGGGCCCCTCCAGTGACGTAAAAAGTGATATCATATGATCCTGTGACATCAGTCAACCAGCCTATATAAAAAAAATCATCAGATTCGAAATCAGTAGTTTACAGTAATCTTTAAATTGTCATTCAAAATTTGGTTTCAAATCTTAACAGTAGTACAGATCGTGTGGTTAATAAAGGTTGATGTGTAGAAACGGTATTAAAATAAAAAAGTAGGTATTAAAATTATATCTAAGTGCTATACTGCTAGACAGTTAAACAAATACAAAGTTTTATAGCACTGTTTACCAGTCTGTTTATCTCTATTTGACTTCTCTAGGGGCAAACTAATGCAATTCGACTATAGGCTCAGTATATGTACATGTCGCACCGTATTTCGGCACCGACTGCGTTTTGCAACCATGACATACACTTTTCTTTACGGCTTTAATTTTTTGCAAATTTTGAAAGAAATTGGTGCTTATAAGAAACGCTCTCTCTCTCTCTCTCTCTCTCTCTCTCTATATATATATATATATATATGCACCAGTCTCCACCCCCTCTTTTTCCCCACACAGCTGCATAAACTGTAAATATTTACCTAAAAATGGTACTAGCATCGTCGAAATTCCCACTATCACCAATGTAAATCCGATGCTCGAGTTCATTTTCTCCAGTCCAAACAAATCACGTAAAACCACTGGCATCAGTAATATAAATGAACCTATAGGTTTAAAATGGACATTATTAAAATATTTTCAAATAAATATTTTAATACATGTTAGAAATACACTGTCCCCGATCTACATGTAAAAACCATTGGCATTCCATTCGTGGAAAGAGATTTTGTTAAACACTTCATGTGCAGATTTTAGTCTGTAAATAAACAATATACTTTATTAATATCAAATCTGTGGAGTACGTGAGTGTAGGTTAAGACAGGGAAGTTGTCTAAAATATTTGGTTAGTTGTTAAAACTGGGACGCAATTTCTGTGCTTGACATATCCCTTAGCAAAATGTCAGGCCTGTTGCAAATTCACAGAAAATTTGCAGCAAATTTGCTGCAATATTGCTGCAAACTGCAATTAATTCTTGCAAATAAGCAGCAAGTTTGCTTCAATATGGCTGCAAATTAACAGTAAGAAAATGTATCTTGCAAACCCCTGCGAATTCGTTGCCTCATTTTGCTTAGGGGATACAGCGGGAATTTAATGAAATTCCAAAGATAATAGGTCTACCGCCAATCGTGTGCCTTTTAATAAAAAACTTACCCAGAGATATCCCAGTGAACACTACGTCCACTGCCAATGTTGCATACGTATTACAAAATGGATTCATAATTAGCGCTACTCCCCCAATGAAAACGGAAAAAGCCAGTAACTGCAAACGATGATGGCGAATAAACTTCCGGTCAGCAACAATCCCGGTGACGAGACGCGTGACGGTATTGACGATCCCTATGATGGATATTAGGAATGCAGCTTCAGGGGCACCGATATTACGTGATATGGCACTGTCTGGTATAAATGTAAAGGGGACTATGATTCCTAGTTGACAAATGAAGTAACACGAAAGCCAAACCACGAATGCAGGGTCTCGTAGCAACGACCAATGTATGGCACCGACGGCGCCATCTATGGAGCATTTGGCACAGCATGCTGAGCTATTTTCTTTTAAGGCAGATGATAGAGTATGGTCGATAGACGACGCTGTGTTTTCTTCAGCGTGTATTTTTGCCATTTGTTTATGCTCCATGCGCTCATTCTCAATAGATATCGATTGTTCTGGAACCTCTTGCTTTAACCCTGTAAATATGTTTGTGCTTTTTAAAGAATTATCTTCAGTCTTTTTTGTGAACGACGTTGTTAAATTCCCCACTTTACTCTCTTGATTTGTTTCGTTTAGATGAACCATTTTTGTACCAAATGACAATTCGTTATCTTCGAGCTCCGTCTCTTTTCCTTCAAGAATTTCCATGACGTCCGCCTTCTCGTCAGCTTCACGCTTTCGCAGTGGTTTGTAAAGCATTCCTAAAGAAGAGCCCGTAAGAGTGATCCCTGCTAAAACCCCCATCGTATACTTCCAGCCAATTATGTCTGTCAGCCAGCGCACAAACGGCGCCAAGGCAAAAGTCCCGACGCCCGTCCCACACACTGAGATACCCATAGCAAGGGAACGCTTCTTATCAAAGTAGAGCTGCACGCATACTACACTGGGGAAGAACATTAGGCCAAAACCTATTCCTGTAAAAACAAGACCAAATTCATTCATTTAGATAATTTCTGACTGAAAGTTGACATTTATAAAATAAATATAGATTTCATAGGTACATGTAACAACATGTTCCTTAATCGCCAAGGTACATCAAATTTAAAGGCATTGTCAAAATCACGACCTTTTTATAAACCCGTTTTTAAATGTAACTTCTCATTGTCTCGAATGGAGACGTTCATGTATAATGGTGACTTTTAAGCACATCATTAGAAAAAATACAGAAGTCATAAACAAGTTCATAAATCGCAATTTTTCCCAACTGTTATGGATAGGATACACCGTGGTGATAAAGGAAAAAATCGCTGATAGTCTCTCTCTCTCTCTCTCTCTCTATATATATATATATATATATATATATATATATATATGAAAAGCTAACTCACCCGGTACATTTGAAGCATTCTAAAACTGCATGTAATTTTGTTAAGCCGGAAACATGTTGAAACCTGTGGTTATTACTATTAATGTAACCAAACATGGGCATTGTTGAAGTAAAAAATTAGATATGGTGAAATTAAATAGCCTTTTGAAATTAATTACAATAGAAATAGCACAAGACCATCTTCGGCATACCTGGCATTCCAACCGTGTGTAAATAAACCTACCTACTACAGCTCCGAGGGTGACATATAACACATAAATAGAGGGCGCAAACGCGCTCAAGACGAACCCCACTGTTGCTATTACGCTGCCGGAAATACTGACCACTCTATAGCCAAACTTCTCGCACATCATCCCGGCCGGTAATGCTAAAATAATGAAAAAATCTGAAAGTTACTTTAAATTCCGGCGACGATTTTAGTTTGGCTGAAAAAAAATGTTGGTTTTTAACATTTATATAATAAATTACGTCACTATTTATCGGTACAAAATGAAGCTTTCTTGACGTATTTGCTAGAAATGCTCACGTCACTGGTTCAATAATGCCAGTAACAGATTCTATCTGTTCGATTTGTAACATTTCCTAAGTATAACATAAATGTTTTAAGACAGATTATTACTGGTACATGCACCAGTTTATATTACTGGTCCACTTTCCTTTCGTGGTCATTTGTGATATCTTTATTATTATGATATGATATTCTTCTGTGATCAGAACCTACCTATTAGGTGCATTGCCGCCGTCAAAATTGAACCAATCCATGATGTGTTGGATTTTGTCTCTTGAAAGGTATCCAAAAAGACCACATAAAATATACCCATGGAAAAAGACACCCCGTCCACGATAACGTGTAACAAGAAGGAGGCCAAAACCACCAGCCAGCCCCACCCGCCATCAGGGGCTTTGCTGTGAACGTCAGCGTTGTTGGTGCTGACATCACCACTTTCAGTGTTCACGTCATTGTTGGAGACAGGATTGGAGATGACACTGTAATGGTTGCTGTTGTTCACATTTTCCTCGGGAATCTTTGTGAAATAAGTTGCACTGTCGTTGGAATCACTGACGTAGCTCAGGTTGATGCTGCCACTGTGGTTATTATCGTACGTGTATCCATTGCCGATGGGACTATTGGCGCAGTTTTTGTCGGTGTTTTCCTCACAGCTGTCAATTTTGTCACCAGAGATGTTCGCGTCATTTTCATTTAACCCCTCGGATTCAACACTCTTGTTGTAGTTCCCTGGCTGATTTTCAGAAACTGACCTTGAATTGTCTTTAATTACTTCGGGTTTATCATCCATGCCTTAATCTGAAAATATAATAACATCCGATAAGATATCTGTAAGTAACATTCAGAGAAAGCAGTACACGATCTACTATAATGTACAGATTGTATCGGAGCCATGTGTTAAGTACTGGTATGCAAATAAATTATTCACAGTCTACACGAAGAATTTATTTAGCCTGATGCTGTTCATTATATTCAAACATGCTATATTTAGTTTTTGACACAGAACTACTGAGTACATACATGTATATCACACTATTCAGTGTAAAATGTGTTTTACCGGCAGTTATATATATGATTAGGCCTGTCCCTGCTATCGATAAACATACTATGCGTAGCAATTGCACAATATTGTTATATGAAATCATATTGTAAAAATGTACTTGTACTAGTTAATAAAGAACTTCATTAAAAAGAAAAAGGAGGAAAAGAAACAATGCCTCGTTTACGTAGTCGTAGGTGTAAATTGACACGCATAATTATACAGCGGGTTTCGAGAACAAAAGATACAGAGGCTATTGGAATAATGGTAGAATATCACGACCAGTAACTATACGACCCCTTTTGTCTTCTATATGAAAACGCATAATGTCACACTAAATCACCTTTATTTATGATATGCCTTATGTGGGCCACTGCCAGATATTAAGACCCCCCCCCCCCCTCGAGAGGGTAGTTGGGTACCTTTTCCTGTCCTCATCTCTCCTCATCTCTCCTCGTCTATTCTTCCGATCCCCTCACGCCACGGCACGCTGCACTTGGTTTACTGCATCGCGCGAGTGTAAGCACGTAAAAGTAATTAGCTATAGACCACGGTGGTAGTGAAGAACAAAAGACTCAGACGTGGTGTAACTCGCAAAACCGCACGTCTCGCATGAATGCGTTATAACCCGCTAAAACACACAAATACTATTCATCGAAGTACAGAATCGTAAACACACATGAAAGGCACTGAGCGTTTATAACCACATATGAAAAAAGAAAGAAGAAAAAACAAGCTGTATTATATTTCAAAAGTGATCTTTTTGCCGTTTTTTATTCTCACAACGTTCTCAATAACAGAAGGTATTTCAATTGTTAAAATTTTGTCGTCCTTTTCCGTATTTTGCTTCATTGGAGGTGCCGATAAAGAGCTTGCAGGCTGGGTTGAAGATGAAGTTACTGAAGCGCACGATGCTTTTGAAATTCAAAATATAGTTGTTTCACGAATATTGCATATTTATTTGAAATGTTTTAACAATATTGAAGCAGGGTGCTGCTGCGACTTAAAAGATAATAACGAATGATAAGAAAAATTAAACACACCTGGCGGATAGGAACTGCCACCTTCTATAACGATTGGGTCGGTAATAAATCTAGCTGAGAGAGGGTGACGTCCTCCTCCGCTCCAAACATGATGAATAGTGTGGTAATGAAGATAGCAGGGTAGTTGCGTGAGTGTGATGTCGTGAACTGTTGTTGAAGTTAATGGACCGTGGTCTAAGTAAGCTACGCACTCGTGTATGCCACATAACCCTCGCTGACTCGGGGTCTTTCTATTACTGAACCCATGCTTGAACGTCGCTGGAGTAGAACAAAAAGGAGAGGGAGGTCGGGCCTTGACCTTTCATGTTAATCTGTGGGTTAATTATACTCTGGGCCACATTTCTGTAAAACGTACATTGTATACATGTACACCGGAGATTTGGTGTGGATCGTGCGTACGATATCTTAAATCTGACGTCGGAGTTATTATTTCGGTTGAACACGCAAAATGTTTATTGTTGAGACTGTGAAGTAAAACCCCGGTACAGGCTAATACTATGATCTCAGACTATAAACGAATAGAAGAGACGAAGAGGAGAAAAAAGGAGACACTTACTGTGTTTTCCGCGTAGTTTCGTACACCCTTAATACACTACATAGGGCACGTACAGGTCTGATTAAAGCAAGGAGTAAGTGAAATGTTATAAGTGACAGGATTTGACCTGGAAATACCTGCACATACAGTAAACATGTTTATCTTACGATGCATGTTGTGCTGAGGATACCGGGCCACTGACCTCGCGGCTAAAACGTCACCGTGGGGCTCTTATCGCGGCTAATGGACAACAAACAGGTGCTATATTGATCTACTATACGCGCTAGGCATATGTTAGAATGGTGGGTATACCTGATATAAAATACACTATGTTATGTTTTTGTACCTGTGTTTATATGACGCTCAGTGCAGGGAGCTTACAAATGTGTCGTATTTATCATTTACCGGGGTACAGCTCAATATTATTATTATTATTATTATTATTATTATTATTATTATTATTATTATTATTGCAGGGCTGGAGTAACTGTGGGCAGTTGATCTCCCAGCGAGTTCTGAAAAAAATGTTCAAAATTCTTCCTTTTCCTTCAGTGAGAGCCTAGATAACTGTGCAGCTGGTGGCAGAAATAGCCTGCCTACTTAATAATAATAATAATGATAATAATAATCGTCGTATTAATACATAAAAGCATAAAATGAAAATTGAAATGATCACCTGTTTAGTCTTCTTTTCATGTCATAGCTCCCCTCAATGTATTTCTGTTCCCTTGCAACTCCTCTCTTGAATAAGTACTAAAATGTGGACATTCAACAACACCCCCCAGTCCCAGCTCCAAACATTTTCCTCAGCCTCTATAGGACCATTCCCATACCTTCACTTACTGGCAGGATCGGTCTATCTCCGAGAAGTTTCTTGCTAAATTACATATATTCTAAGCGTGCACGAAAATTTATTATATTTTAGAAGCTTTAGTAGGCGTGAGAGACATTGATGCCAAGATCCCCCTGAAAGTTAGATCGATCCTGCTAGTACGATGGGGTTATTGGAACCGAGTCTAAGACCCTGCTATTACTTCCGCCAAGAAGGTTATATTTTCACTTCTGTTAAATTTTCTTCCTGTTTAATAGTTCGTTACCAGCCTAAAGGTTATGGATGAACTTTGATCAAATTTTAGGTCGGAAAAGGAATAACGTTTAAATGATTAGACTTTGGTGGTTAATTAATAGATTAAATATTACTTAATCATTAGTTAATAATCTGTCTAGTATTTGACTGAGGCATAAGGCATAATTACAGTTATGGTTCCGATGACCATTTTTTGGACAGGCACGGGAGTTGTCTAGGAAATTGCTGCCAATACAACAACCAATTATCTTTTGTCGATTACCCTGTATGTGCTGGTAACATCAATTACATAGGATATGGAAACGAGATAGGATAACCCTTATCTTAATGAAATAATTTTGGGTAGAAGAGTAAATAATGCATTTTTGTAGCCAGTGATAGGATATCTCCGGCTATTAAAAATCCCGGTACGGTAAATGTATATAAAGGTCACTGCGCTGATCAAAATACAGAAGCTGCCTTTAGAAGACTTTGTTGCTACAGGGAGGTTTCACCGTTGAATTTAAGGTAAGTCTTCTATAAACTGTCAAGCCCAGATATAGGGAATGAATAACAAAATTTAGTCTCTCATCCTCCAAATAGGATGAAGAGTACAGGGGGTTCTTTAAAACAAATGTACGTGACAGGGTTTGCAAACTTTTAAAAATTTAATGACATCGATTATGCATTTCTTTTTTTTTCTTAAATACATTTTTTATTTTAAAACTAAATACGAAATTTGTTTAAAGTCTCATCATTAGAAAAACATCTTTACAAGAAATACAACTACAGGGTATTATCGTTAAACAGATCATTTGTGTACAATGCAGAATACTGAAATGTACATATATACCACTTAAATATGCCTTCTAATTAGAGTAGATGAAGGTAAAAGTCACTTTGAAGTTGTCTAATTTTCTAGAATATTGTTTTGTGTGTTGTACCAGTATACTTTATATCCTTTTATATAAAAGCTCAATAATCTGCCTCAAATACCATAACCACATCTATTATCCTCACATTGTTAAATGGCACAATACATATAACATTGTTCTTCTTCCGTTTTCCAAAGAAAAAGAGTAACGTTAATTTCATTTATTGGAATCTGAAATCTTATCGCTTATCATCACATATGGTTTTACCGTGCATTTACGATAACATACAAAGAAATGCCTTATAAATGAAATTGATTATATTTCAGATTTCGTTAAATTAATAAATAAACGTGAGGTTTTCGGAATCAAAATGTGATAAAAGAACAAAATCGAACATTACAATAGGTTTGTTCACGATGAAAATGACGGCATAAAACTCGGTTACTAGGAGAACTAACACTCAAATTGTATTGTTTTCCCGCAGGATGCAGGGGTTTACAGTGTTCATGCTGCTAGTCGTGGCTGTCGTCGCCAATGCCGACTTTATCATGTTTCCTAGAACAGACGGTAAAAGATTTTAAAGTACATGTTTTATAAAAAAATTAGCTTCATATCTTAAAATATATATACCTAATGGACAATAGAAGTGTCACAGTATGAATCAGAATCAGAATTAGAGTAATCAAATAATAATCAAGTAGTCAATAATCAAAGTATGCAGATCTTGTTTTGTAGTTACAATGCCTGGTTTACATTTGTTTTTGTTTTTCTTTTGTGTGAAATTTGATGTAAATAAAATGATACCAGGAGCATGTAATTCCACAGTCATTTATCTCCACCAAAGTATTGGTTCAGTAGGAGTGACACTTCTATTGTGCATTGTGTGTAGACAAAATATAGCAGTGTTATCAACGCCGGTGCGTTCTATTTTAGCGTAAAACCTTTAAAGTTTTGTTTTACCTTTGTTGATTTCTACCCCTACTCATTGTTTCTGTGGCAGAATATCTGCATTACCCATTCCTTTTAAAACGCATCTTTATTTTTTTTTCATCACAAGAACTCAACCAGTGTGTTCGGTTAAAATTCCTCCATTACTCTCCTTTCCAGATTGCCCGGGGAATTTAGTCAAAACCACAAGCAATTGCGATTTGGCATGCGCGCGCACTTGCGAGAAACCCGGAGTTCCGGCCTGCTACCGGATATGCTGGCGTGGGTGTGTCTGTCCACCAGGTGCCCCATTGCTCGTGGACAAGGCAAACTGGATTTGCGGCTCCAGCGCAGACTGTCCTAAGAAGTGATTTCTGCCTGCTGGCATAAAGCAAGACGCGTAATGAATCCCGAAGTAATGAAAATAAAAGTCGTGAAATCCAAAAGATGTTTCTTTGTTTGTTTGATTTTTTTTCAAAAGAATGTTGTGAATAATAAATGTTAAAAAGATGAAGGTTGTATTTCCCTTCCAACAAAAAATGGAACCGACAGCGGTATATTAAAAAAAAAAAAAGAAAATATTTTTCTTGCATTGAATATAAATAATGCAAAATGTTCGTCAACAAAAATAAAGTACAAAACGTCACAGACGTACAAGTCCATCATCATGAATAAAGGAATATCGTATTATTCCACTATATTACAGTGAGGTTAATTGAGCTGTCAAGGCCGTTTGGCAATAATATCTTATCCATTAAAGGTACACCATGTTAGTTTGAAATGTTCCAAAGTCGTATTTCCTGTGTATGCAGATAAGGCAGCTGCTCATCAATACAATAATAATAATAATAATAATAATAATAATAATAATAATAATAATAATAAATCGAAAGAACCCCTCACATAAAAACAACCGGTGTCGTGTTTTCTTCTGGAGTGCACAGATGGACATTGCGGTCCTTTCAAGCCAGTCATTTAGAACTAATTACATTATGTAATCAGGGACAGATTGACCGCGTAGGAGAAACGGCTATTTTTTATTTTTATTTATTTACTTATTTTGTTTTAGGAAAAAGCGATTTGACAGGAAATTGCCGAATTCGATACCTTAAATTACACAGCGGCTGGTTTGTCCGGGAAACGGAATAAAGATGATTCGTGGCTAATCATATAAAATGATGTTATTCTAGTAAAAGTACATTCAATTTACTGCACAATTTTGAAAAGAGCTAGGTACCAATTTCTAGTTCACGGTCAAAAGCTAATGCATGTCACGTTTTGAAGTAAACTAATGGGAGTAAAATAACACATTTTACAGCATATATTATTCCATTATATTACAGTGTGGTTAATTGAGCTGTCAAGGCCGTTTGGCAATAACATCTTATCCATTAAAGGTACACCATGTTAGTTTGAAATGTTCCAAAGTCGTATTTCCTGTGTATGCAAATAAGGCAGCTGCTCATCTTTCCCAATAATAAAAAAAAAAAAGAAAGAACCCCTCACATAACAACAACCGATGTCGTTCCTTTTCTCTTCTGGAATACACAGATGGACATTGCAGCCCAATTAAGTCACTAGCCAGTCATTTAGAACTAATTATATTATGTAATCAGAAACAGTGTAAAGCATCGAACCCAACTGACTAGACAGGTCGACCGAGTAGGAGGAACGGCTATTTTTATTTTCATTTTTTTTGGAAAGGCTATTTGACAGGTAATTGCCGGATATGATACCTTAAATAACACAGCAGCTGGTTTGTTCGGGAAACGGAATTAGATAATTCGTGGTTAATCATATAAAATGATGTTATTCTAGTAAAAGTACATTCAATTTACTGCACAATTCAGAAAAGAGCTGGACATCAATTTCTAGTTCACGGTCAAAAGCTAATGCATGCCACGTTTTGAAGTAAACTAATGAGAGTAAAGTAACACATTTTACAGCATATAAGGCCAATTATTGCCTCTTGTCGCTTCTTACTATACAGTATCTTCTTTCCTTTCTTTTCTTTTTGATGTGTGTGTGTGTGCGTGTGTGTATGTGTGCGTGTGTGTGTGTGTGTGTGTGTGTGTGTGTGTGAGAGAGAGAGAGAGAGAGTCGATATGCGTGTGTGTGTGCGCCCGCGCGCTCGTGCGTGTGCAAGAGAAACAGAGAGAGAGAGAGAGAGAGAGAGAGAGAGAGAGTGAGAGAGAGAGAGAGGCGAGAGGGAGGAAGAGAGAAAGAGAATGGATGTGTGTGTGTGTGTGTGTTAGAGAGAGAAAAAGAATAAGGAATACGAGGGAGTGAGAGAAGGCGCGAATGCATATGCGCGTATCTGTGTATATGTGTGAGGGTATGCATGCGCTCACGTGTGCGTAATTATATAGTGAAATAAGTTGGGTTGAAATTCGCTCTAGTGAGCCCACTGATAGCAGCTGAAAACATTGACGACGATACTACAATTAATCATGTGACGGAAAATAACTGACAAAAGACAACTTACTCTAGGACTCAAATTAACTTGACATTACAAGCCTACACTCCTCGCTATGTAAACTGATAAAAATGAAATGCTTACAGTATATTTAACTAAATATGCCATGTCTGCTACTTTATAAATGACCAACTAGCTACCTCAACATAATACATCAAACCCAAACCCAACAAAATACAATATTTCTTCAGGGCCTGTCCATTCATCCTACTTATAATTAGGACATCCGACTCTTTATCAGTTCATGCAGATACATGTACTGCAGTTTGCAAAAAAAAAAAAAAAAAAAAAAAAAAGTAACAAAAAATCCATTACTAATTGTGGTACATTTATTATTTGGAAATGTCTTACTGAGTTAAAACTGAAAAATATGAACACAGAGCCAAAATATCCAAGCATTTTAGGTCGGCAAGCAGTCGCCAAAGGCCGCCCAAATAAGGTTCATACATGTAAGAGGAGACAAAAGGTTAGGGCACATTCTCAATATAACCATATTTCTACATAGGTCGATCTTACTCTCCCAGAGGGCATGTATTCAGGTTAACTGTATGACGCACCTACTCTTGTTTCTGATGCACTCGTATAATGATTTTTTGTATTCTGTTAAACGCCAGGAGAAAGCGTATAGTCTGCTAACCTGATTTTTATACAGCGAGAGTCCTTGCTTAACTAGCCATATGACCATTCTAAGATGCTGCATGTCCTCATGCGCCCTTGGTCAAAAATTGAGGTAAAAAGAAAGTGTTATCATCATCACCATCATCATCATCATCATTATCATCATCATCACCACCATTATTGTAATCATGATCATCATTATCATCAATAAGAAGAACGGCACAATCCTCTCCACATCGCTCGATTCTTATTTAACTAACGTGTTTTTTACCTATGACGCTTGATGACCAGCAGGTCTGCTGAACAAAGCATTTAAATGATTTTTCAAAACACGCTTAATGTCTTAGGATGCTATTAACTTCTTCGCCCAAAGTTTTGTTGTTCATAATATTCCGGCTGTTGTAATAATTGCTGCATCGAGATCCGGTATATTGGCTAAGCATGGCACCTCGGCATCGATCGTTTCCTTTTGACAGCGTTTTATAGTTGCCATGGCAAAACTACACGTGATCACAACCCCTCCTGAAATGTAAAATGTGACGTCATATGACCCTGTGACGTCGGTGACCCATCCTGAAATTTAAAAAAAAGTTGGGTGACATCAATATCGTTTTCATGGGAAGGGAATAATTGGCCACGCACTCCCCCCCCCAAAAGACCCTGTCACAGCTAGCATAAAAATTTTGAAAAAAGCTTTGAAAAAAAAAAACGAATAATAACATAGGGCATTTTCAATATAATTTTTTTGGAATTCAGCCTCTGTCTCGCAGATTTACCTAAAAACGGAACTAGCAGCGTCGATATCCCAACTATGACCAATGTAAAGCCAATGCTTGTGTTCAATTTGCCCAGTCCAAAGAGATCGCGCAACACGACTGGCATGAGTAAAATGCATGCTCCTAGAAATGAAGAAAATCTGATACTTGTTAACCTCGAGAGATGAGCCCTTTTCAAGGTATGTTTAGCAATATTTAGCCAATCGAAGCAATAAGGAAATCGAAGCAATTTCAACCAACCATATGCATTTAATGAATTACTAATAAACAATGTAATAAAAACATTAAATAGAAACAAAAATTCAAATGAATAACACAAGACGAGTAAATGAAAACACATATACAAGCATATGTACATATTTAGATTTTAAGTCCAATTTTCTGATAAGATGCACCAAGCACTTCCGTTTAATAAGAACTGAATTAAATCGTTCGAGTTGCTTTCCTTACACGGATTTCATCGTTTTACATGTAAAATACTTGTATGGACCTACTGTCAAAAGATTACTAGTTTCAGTTAAAGGGATAATAACTCTTCGTATGATATCTATATTACACAATAAAAACATTGTACACAACTCATAGAAATATAATATATTCTGTTTTACCACAAAAACGGCAATTATAGCTAATATTCAGATATCTGAGCTTGTCTTCAGATCACATGACCTCCATTGATGGCTATACTCTGTTATAATCTCTTAAGAGATTTTAACAAAAAATCAAACGTTTTAGAAAAAAACAGGAACTAACTTTGCATGTAAAAATGGATTTATTAACCATTGGCTAATATGGGGAAATTGTTGTTTACTCCAGGGAAATTCATTTTTTGGCCAAAACGAAGAGTTATTATCCCTTTAAGAGAAAATAATGAAAATATAATGAAATAAGATGTGGAGTGGAAAAGAAGCATTACCTTGAGACAATCCCATAAGAATAACGACGATCACCAATGTTGCGTACGTTTTGCAAAATGGACTCACAATCAACGCCACCCCACCAATGAAAGCGCCGGCAGCCAGTAACTTTAGACGGTGATGACGTACGTGGTTCCGGTCGGCAACAAACCCTATGAGGGGCCGTGCAGCAATATTCACGATCCCTATGACGGATATCAGAAATGCTGCTTCAGGGCCCCCTATGTTGCGCTCCATGGCACTGTCCGGCATGAAGGTCAATGGAACCACGACTGCAAATTGGCAACCGAAGAAACACACGAGCCATACCACAAAGGAGGGCTCTTTCAGCAGCGACCAGTGTATGACCCCGACAGGGCCGTCTCTGCGGCATTTGTCAAAGCACGTGGTAAAACTACCTTTGTTTTCAGGCTGCAGAGAATGGTCAATAGATGGCGTTGTATTTACCCCAGTGGTTGTTTTGGGATTAATATCACGTTCTTTTGTGTCATTTTCAATTATTTGAGATTGATTTAGCTGTAGTTCTTTAGAATTGAGATCGTCTTTGCTTTTAACAGTCCCATCATCAAAGTCTTGAGCATACTTCATAGTGGTCTTAAACACGTTGCACTCATACTCAGTGTCCTTTATCACAATCATATCTACGGCTTTTGATGGCATCTTTTCCTCCAATCCAAGATCGGTATCTGGGAGATCGCCCAAAGCTTCCACACTGCTATCCGTTTTATGTTTTGGAAGCGGTTTATACAGTAGCCCCAAAAAGGTCCCAGTGAAGCTCACACCGGCCAAGACGATCATTAAGTGTCTCCAGCCTACCAGATCAGCCAGCCAGCGTTGAAACGGCGCCAGGGCAAAAGTCCCAATGCCTGAGCCGGCGACAGATATGCCCATAGCCAGAGTACGTCGTTTATCGAAGTAATGTTGAACACAGACGACGCTGGGGAAGATCATGAAGCCTAATCCTATTCCTGAGAAAGGCAGATAGAATAAATATGAATAAGGCATTCACTGGCAATATTTAAATATACATAATATTAATATAAAACTGTAAATTTTGGACAAGTGATTTGGAGATGATAACCTACTTCAATAGTTTCCGTTTGATAGCCATATTGCGGATAATACATATGTATAGATATATTGACCTCTAATTATATGTGTAAACTATTTAAAATATTAGAATAGCCATCCTTTCTGTAAAAAAATTGTGAGATATTATTACAGTTAAAACATAGAAAAGCTTCAATTTTGCGCTTATCAACGACATACTTGGGGCAATTTTTTACAATGATACGTTCAGGTTTTAAGAAGGGGAAATGTAATGAATTTGAATACCAAGGCTTGTATATGTAATTCCTGAAGACACGCTTTATACCATTATTTTCAATTGGGCTTGAAAACGTGTATATGAAAATGTCTTTACGTAATTCATTTTACCAACCTATATGTGTTATCTACAGGATTGGTAATTTTCTTACCTAGAAACCCTTTTTCGACAAAGCAAAAAGCATAATATATGAATAAAATATCAAGATAATTATAGAGAAAATCAGTCTAACAGTCAAAAAAAGAGTGACAAAACTATATATATATATATATATATATATATATATATATACACACTGATGCTCATAAGTTAAGCAACAACCCGTTTTTTCAAAAGTTTCTTCTATCATGATCATTATTTCACTTGTTGGTGGGATTATGCATATTTCTTTCATATTTTATAAATAACTTATTCAAATTGAATATTTCGGTTAAAGAAATACACCACACAGCTTATTGTAATAATCAAAATGACTTAATTAACCAAACGGTACTAAAATATGCCAAACCATGTGTCAAAAAAGTATGCTCACACAGCAAAAAGTACGTGCTGATTAAAACAGCTTATTATGAAAAAATAAAGTTCGATCATCTAAGAATTAGTTTTAATAAAAGAAGACTGATGATAATAGTTGATTAATCGTCTATTATGCAATAAATATTGGGTGTGCTTTCCCTGGTTTTGAACAACAGCTTCACATTGTCTCCTGCAACTTGCCACTAAATTCTGCCAATCTTGCTTTGAGAGCTGGTTCCATTCTTTATTTACTGCCTGTTGGACCTCTCTAATGTTTTTAACTGGAGGTTGTCTCTCATTTATTGCCCTGTCAATCATATCCTAAGCATGCTCGATTACATTGAGAATTGGTAAATATGCAGGCCAATCCAAATGTGGAATACCGCGCTGTTGCAGCGCGTCTNGGAGAAATGTAATGAATTTGAATACCAAGGCTTGTATATGTAATTCCTGAAGACACGCTTTATACCATTATTTTCAATTGGGCTTAAAACGTGTATATGAAAATGTCTTTACGTAATTCATTTTACCAACCTATATGTGTTATCTACAGGATGGGTAATTTTCTTACCTAGAAACCCTTTTTCGACAAAGCAAAAAGCATAATATATGAATAAAATATCAAGATAATTATAGAGAAAATCAGTCTAACAGTCACAAAAAGAGTGACAAAACTATATATATATATATATATATATATATATATATATATATATATATATATATATATACACTGATGCTCATAAGTTAAGCAACAACCCGGTTTTTTCAAAAGTTTCTTCTATCATGATCATTATTTCATTTGTTGGTGGGATTAAGCATATTTCTTTCATATGTTATAAATAACTTATTCAAATTGAATATTTCGGTTAAAGAAATACACCACACAGCTTATTGTAATAATCAAAATGACTTTATTAACCAAACGGTACTAAAATATGCCAAACCATGTGTCAAAAAAGTATGCTCACACAGCAAAAAGTACGTGCTGATTAAAACAGCTTATTATGAAAAAATAAAGTTCGATCATCTAAGAATTAGTTTTTATAAAAGAAGACAGTGGATAATAGATGATTAATCGTCTATTATGCAATAAATATTGGGTGTGCTTTCCCTGGTTTTGAACAACAGCTTCACATTGTCTCCTGCAACTTGCCACTAACTTCTGCCAATCTTGCTTTGAGAGCTGGTTCCATTCTTTATTTACTGCCTGTTGGACCTCTCTAATGTTTCTAACTGGAGGTTGTTTCTCATTTATTGCCCTGTCAATCATATCCTAAGCATGCTCGATTACATTGAGAATTGGTAAATATGCAGGCCAATCCAAATGTGGAATACCGCGCTGTTGCAGCGCGTCTTGCACGGACCATGCTTTCTGGATGGGCGCATTGTCCTGCACTT